ACCATCAGGATGGACCAGTCCCTGGAGAGCATCATGTTCGGTAAAGTAGGTCAGTGAAAAAGAAGATGGCCCCCACCGAGATGGACTGACACAGTGGCTGCAACGATGCAAACAGCAACGAACGCGAGGAAGGCAGTGTTCTGTTCTGTCATACACGGAGTCACTGTGAGTCAGGGTCCCCTCGCCACCACTTCACCGCCACCACAGGCTGTCATACACGGAGTCGGTGTCCACTCACCAGCACTTCACCACCACCAGAGCTTTTCGTCCAGCAAGAAAACGGGAATTCCCCAAACTCAGACTCCTCCACTATTCAGTGTCAGCTCTTTGGAGTCACATTATAAAAAACAAAGGGGCTGTGATGGCATAGTGCCTAAGGCATTTGACTGCTAACCAGAAGGCCGGAGGTTCAAACCCACTCCTCGGAAGGAAGGTTGGACAATCTACTTCTGTAGTGTTATTGCCTCAGAAACCCAAGGGGGGTCGCTGTGAGTTGGATCGGACTTGACAGCAGGTTGTTTTTTTTTTTTTTAATAGAAAATAGAATTGTTTTTACGACCGTATGAAAACAGACGCGGGGAAGACGTCGGCTTCGCACGTGTGTGCGTGCGTTTGCTCAGTTGCTTCCCTTCATTTCTGTTCTCTGCAGGCAGCACCCTCTTCCCGGTGCTCGGGATCTACTCCAGGCGGCCACAGTGGCAGAGCCCCACAGCCGGAGAAACACAATCATGGAAAAGATTTCAGGGAAAAGAGAAACCATAAATCACGACCCTGAGAGTTATCACAGAAAAGAGAGGCCGCCTTCTTGACTGTTGCAAAAATTCTTGGGAGCCCCTGGGGTGCCTTTTCCTGTAGAAAGTCATGTCCTTACAAGGGCTTCGATGCAGCAAAGACTGATAGTCTCTAAGCTCTGGAAGGTTCCTGGCGATGCCTGCAGCACAGCCTTGTGCCCTTCTCAGAGTTGTCCTCAGTGTCATCGCCAGATGCAATGGCCGGGGCCGCTGCCTTCCTTTCCTTCTGGAGAGTCCCCACGCGAACCTCCGTGCCGAGTATGTGCCTCACCACACAAGGCTCTGGGGGAGGAGGCCCTGAGCCCCGAGGTCCGGGGAACCCTACCCTGCTGTCACCAGGTCAATTCTGACTCACGGTGCCCTGGTGCGCATCAGAGTAGAACCGTGCCTCACAGGGCTCTCCACGGCTGATGTTCCGGATGTAGGTCACCAAGCCTTTCTTCAAGGTGCTCCTAGCTGGATTCGAACCACCCACCTCTTGGTTAGCAGGCGAGTGTTAACCGTTTGTACCACCCAGGGGCTCCCCATGGAGCCCTAGAAGATCCCTAGTATGGCTTCAGATCAGGAGGTGGTGTGAACTCTCTAAGACATTTACGGATTCCTCAAGATAAGCACAGGATGGCAGGTGTTTTTCCGGGAAGAAGCCCTGTGACTTTAAACAGACTCGGACTGCCCCCAAACACCAGGAATCACCAGGATCCGGCGTCCCAGTAACTCCAGGGACAGACTGTCAGGGAGCATCTTTTCAGAAAACCTACTTCATTTGCTCAGTCAACCCCTTCTCTCAAGATGCTGCGGTGACGTCCGGAAGGCCTGACTGGGGCACTGTCACAAGCAGGACTGGTTCTGCCACCTGATCCTATTTTTCAGAATTCCCTGCAAAAATAAAGGCTTCTGAACCGAAATTAACCACAGCGAGTATTCTCACGGACAGAAAACAGAAACACGTCCACAGACGGGCTTTGTTCAGTTGCCCCGTTTCCCCAGGCGTGATGTGAAGAAAACGCTAACCTTTCTATTTCAGCCACAAAGCGCAGGGCACACGGCCCTGCAGGCGACTACTCTCATCAATGAGGAAACACCAGGCGTCAAGCATTGAGATTTGAGAACCGTTTAATGTCCATTCCTTCACTGGATGCATTTGAAAATTACTTAGAATTAACAAATTTACAAAGAGCAGAGCCGAGAAATCTAGCAAAGGCAAACAGTTTGTTCTCATCTCAGTTCAGATTCTAGGCAGGATGTGGCCTGAGACCGCCATCCAAAGCTGCTTACCTGGAACTGTGCCTTCAGACAGACTCATCTTCGGAAACTACGTTATTTCTAGGCTGCGGGATGGACAGCGCGCTGCCTGCTGGCTCTGTGTCCTGTGCAAATGTGCAGGGTGATGACGAGGGGGGCTGCAGCTTCAGTAGGGTCATGCGAGGTGTGGTGTCACCCAGGGCATTCTGAGACGTTTATGTTGATCGGCATCGGGTAAGATTACATGTGCTTGTTTATCATGTATTTATACGTAAATTGGATCTGGCCTGAGGGCGAGAGAAGACTAGCAACAGCAATTCAGAGGGGCTATATACACACATTCAACTCTGAAGTACTGCTTCCTACCCTAAGTTCGTGAGCGGTGTTCCCAGCCCCAAGGACGTACCCTTCTTGTCGCCAGTGCTTGAACCCACTGCTTAGAACCCTGTCTGTCTCCAGCAAGCGCCTGCTCAGTGCTAACCCATCTGAACAGCTGACGTCTGCACTGTCTGCGCTGAGGTATGCTGTGGGGCAGGGGCCCAGGGGATATCAGAGTCACTGTGTGGCCCAGAAGGAACATTTCTATTGGCCACTTCAGAAGCTCAGGGTGGTTTCTGAAGACAATTCTGTAAGCTGGGTCAGCTGCCCTTGGTGGCAGGCTTCTGAACACACAGAGCTCGATCGGGCCGGCAGCTGTTAATGCAGCAAGTTCCTGGGTCTCCGTGGGCCAGGACTCACAGACACCTTTGTGGTCGTGGGAGGAGAGTGTGATAGGGAAGACGTGTGTGAGGAGGTGAGGTTCTGGAGAGGCTGCCACATGAAAGAGCCAAGAAGTGCAGCTCGTGGGCCACAGCCCGGCCCGTCGGCTGTAGCTCTGGCTCTGGAGCCTGGACAGTGGATGGTGATCCTTGGCCACACCCCTTAACGCTGTTGAGCAAAGTCCCAAAGTGCTAGCAAGTCCTACATCTAAGGGCAGCATCGGGTAGTGTTTCTTTAAGGAAATGAAAAAAAAAAAAAAAATTGTGCAATCATTTGTAAGACTATTCCTTAGAAGCAGAGGTACTGTCACAACCCTCCCCCCGCGGTGCTGGAAGGACGATGACAGTGACGCCTGAAGGAGGATCTTAAGTGACTGAGAGGGCTCTGGCTTCCAGGCTACCGAGGCTCTGGACACTCAAGGCCACCTGTACGTCCCCTGATGAGCTGGCCGGGTGAACCACGACTTCTTCATGCAGATTCTGCAAGCGTGTGGGACAGGGAGACAATGCTAGAACGTAATGCAGTTGTGAAAACACGACAGTAAGGTTTCACAGTGAGAAGAAAATGCACACAGGCAGGACGGTGAAGACCTGAGGAGAAGGCGTCGGGCCTCCAATCATCTTCCGGGCTGCGCGCCAGCATCACCTTACAAAAGATTAACTGCGACAGGGTGACTGTCGCTGCGGCTCAGCTCTCCACGAACTTCAGACTCAATGTGGCAACATCACTACAAAGCCATTAGGCACAGAAGGCCCAGAGGGCAGCTCCTTGGTTTCCTAGTGCTTCCCTGGTGACATGCCTCATTTACATACAGACTGTCCCTAAATGCTGAACTGAGTGTAAGAACTCCGTCAGAAGAGGGCCAGCGTGGGCTCAGGAGAAGGTATCGTAGTCCCAACAGGCCACATGTGGCCTGAAGGTGGGAGACCACAGGGGCACGGCAGGAGCTGGCGGAACACAGTACATGCCACTCCCGTCTACCTGCTCCTCAGCTCAGCTCTCGGGTGGCCAGGGCTCCCTGCACGAGGGAGCTGAGCCTGACCCCCGTGGCACCAGATGGCAGCAGCGTTCCACCTGAAAGGGGATGACAGCTGTTTTTTCCAACCCAAAGTCTCTGATGTCCAGGAAGGTTTTGACAGAATCCCACCTAGTGCCCTCTAGGCAAGGGAGGCTGGAGGTGGCTGGACTGCCAGCAGACAGGTCCCCCTGGTTCCACTCTGCCCTTCCTGGGCCCTACAGAGCCGACTTCCTTCCACCAAGACCCCCAAATGTACGTGCCCACGGTGCCCACACACACACACATGCTTCCTGGTAAATAAATAAATAAATAAAAGCAACCCTAGGACATTTATTTCGAGTTTCACTCTCTCAGATGAGGCAGCTTCAAAGACAACCACCTCCACTCTGATGGGAAGATGTGCCGGGGTTGGGGGCACAGGATGGACGACGGCTTTGGAGATACCTGAGGCCTGGGCTCACGCACACATGGGGTTACCTGTCTGACATCTTGGCCTGGAAGTGGACGAGTCCCTAAAGCTGCTGGGTGCAGGGCAGGTGGGAGGGCAGCCGCAGGGGAAGGACTGGATCGTGGCTATCTGAGCCCTGGCTGCATCGGGCCTCCCTGCTACCTGCCTCCCTCGGCCCATGCGCCCCCGGACCCTCCCTCTCGGTAAGCTACTGGCCCTTGATCTCAGTTTCATAGATGCAAGTGTGTGCACGTGTGCGTGTTTACATAGGAAGGTCAGGTCATGGTGAACACGGTTATGTATACAGAAAAAAAAAAAAAACACCTCAGAAACACTGTATTAGCCCACAAAAAAAAAAAAAAAAACCAAAACCAAAAAAAGTGTCTTGTGAGAAAAAGCAATAAAAATGATGTCTGAGCCACAGCTTGTTTTCAAAGTCAAGTAACACCCAGAGCCCCAGCTCTCTGGGCGGCCTCTGTCCCCAGAAATGGAGGCCAAGGCCAACCCCTGAAGGCACTTGTGTCCCCCACACTGCTGAGCGGTAACATGGAGGTGGAGGGAGCACATGGGAAGAGACGGTGGGGATGACCCCGGAAGATCCGTGATCCACACGGAAGTCAGTGCGGAAGTGACGACAGTGCACCGCGTCCGGGTGGCACCGAGGCGCCTGGGGAGGCACCACAGCCAAAGTATTATTGTGTTTCGACGAACAGAGCACCGCGGGCAGCCTTCGTGCGCCGTGTCAAACGCTCCTGGAAACGCTCAGCTTGGTGAGCTCGCCGGCTTCCTCCAGCTCTGCCTCCTCACAGTCCCTTTTCTCCGGGGTTCTGCTAACTCGACCCCTCTCTCCCGCTCGGCTGGGCTCCTTCCAGGGCCTCTTAGAAGACAGATGGACGTCCTTGGCCTGCATGCTGTTATCGGAACCAAGAGACGCCCTGTCTATGTTCTGTACAGAAGGCACCAGGTTGGCGATCTCGTCGGTGGGCGACCGCCCAATGCTGCCATCCACCTGGATCCGGATGTCCGGGGAGATGGACAGCTGGTGTTGCGGCACAATCCCGTTGTCCATGCACTTGGGGTAGAGGTAGGTCTTCATCTGACCTTTGCCCTTGACGTTCACTGTCCCTCTGTAGTCGAAGTCGTAGCCCATCTTGCTCAGGACGCGGTAGCTCTCTTCGCTCACCTGGATGCGGCATTCCACCCCGGTGGTGTCCATCCGGCTGGCGATGTTGACCGTGTCCCCCCAGATGTCATACAGCAGCTTGGTGGTGCCGATGACCCCGGCCGTCAGGGGCCCGTGGTTGAAGCCGACACGGAGCTTGAAGTTGAACCACAGCATGTGGTTGTTGAAGTCGTCCACCACACGCATCATTTCCTTGGCGAACTCAAAGAGGATCTGCAGGTGCTCCTGCGGGTGGCCTGCGTCCCGGCACTGGGCCGTGTCCAGCCCCGAGGCAGCCATGTAGGTCGCCCCGATGGTCTTGATCTTCTCGATGCTGCTGTAGCCCGGCTTGCTCAGGAGCTCATCAAAGTCCCCAATGAGCTCGTTCAGGACCCGGTAGCACTCCTTGCCCCCCTCGTAGTTCTCCTCGTAGAACTCGCTGAAGTTGACGATGCTGGCGAAGATGACCCCTGCGCTGTCGTGGTTCTTGGAGTAGGTCTGGGAGACCTTGAGCTGCTCAGCCACGTGGTAGGGAATGATGTTCCTCAGCAGCCAGTCCGCCTGGTCCCGCATGCTCTGGATCCTGGTGCGGTGCAGGTCCGCCTCCACGTCGCCATGGTAGTGCAGGCGGTAGCTGACTTCGAACTCTCGGTTCAGGAACCAGACCAGGAGCAGCAGAAGAAAGAAGACCAGAAGCGCCTCCTGGCCGATCAGATTGGCCGGCTTCCAGCTGTGGTGCGGCAGCAAGCCGTTGCACGCACTCCCCTCGGAACTGAGAGTAAAGGGGACAGAAAGGACAGGCCCTTTTAAAAGGGTTGTTTCAATGCATCTTTAAGGGAAAGCTGCCTACCCTGCACTTGGAGGTTCTGAAACACCCCGCCCACCAGCATCCTGCTCCAAGTGCTGCTGGGGTCAAGCCTTCAGCCACCCGGACTGCAAAGCAATTGCGTGCATTCATGCGGCCAAGGACACGCAGAGACAGGTGGCGCTACCTTTATTAACAAGGGCTGTATCATTGCTGTTGTTCAGAAATCTTAGCTTCTTGTTTTTTCTAAAAATCTTTTCTTTCTCTTCCCCAACCTTTCAGTTAGAAACCTTTACAGACAAGTAAGATCTTTTATTTTGAGAAACATAAAGACTCTTAAAATAAACTCCTGTATACACTCTATCCCTGGATTCAACAAGTGTTAACATTTTGCCACTTTGCCTTCTGTCTAATCTCACACACACACACACACACACACACACACATGCATGCATGAAGGTTTTCAGCATGTATCTCCTAGGAGGAAACACATTTCCCTTCGTAACCACGGCATCACTGTCTACCCAAGAAATTGAATGTTGATACAGTAATACTCTCTAATACTCCTGCTCCTTAGATTTCAAATCCAACTTTACTTTAAAAGACTGACAATTTTATAAAGAATTTTTGTAAGTTTTCTATTCTCTACCCACGTGAAAGTTTGGCAAAATAGCATGTTTTCCCTTGGGGCTAGTTATGTGGGGCCCCAATCACCTAAGACAACTTTAACATCATTCACAAGCATATGTCTTCTTTTAGGAGCAAGACATACACACACGACGGTAAGAAACTCGGATGGTGCCAACAGTGCAACTTCAGTGTCTCTTGGAGACGACCAGTGTCCCCACTTCCCGGGCCGTCCAGCACTCAAATGCAGAGGTGTGCTGGAAGGAAGCCAGGCGCCCACAGGGGACACCTGGCTTGTGCCGTCTGTGGTAGTTAAATTTGTATGTCAACTTGGCTGGGCCTGGTTGAATGGCTGGGCAGCTGGTGGTAATTATTCCTCATGATGAGACTGGCAATCAACTCCATGGTGGGATCTACCACAAGCAGCTGAGTAGCTGCCTTTGGGATGTGGTCTGCTTCCTGTATATAAGGAGAAGCCTTGGGGATAGTCTCTAGCTTATGGCACGCTTGGACCCTGCATGTAGCTGTGTCGTTATTCAGCAGCCTGCCATGCTCTGCCGACCTTGGAACTTACAATGGACTTGAATTAATGGCCTGCCGTGTGGTTTGGTAACATGGGAACTGTGCCATTTTATTTGTCAACCTTGGGCTTGTTAGCCTAAGCACCCAGTATCTACCTGAGTGAAGAGATGCCTCTAGCTTCAGTGGGCCGGGAGCAAGAGGCAGAGCCCAAGGTCGAGGGGCTTTCACACAGCCTCTAGAGCCTGGCACTTTGAACTTGGACTTAAAGCCTCCAAACTGCAAGAGAATAAACTCCCGTTGGTTAAGGCCATCCCATTTGTGTATACTCTTGTCAGAGCAGCACTAGGAAACCAGAACACCGTCCTCTCCTACAGATGCCAGACAACGCAGCAGAGTGCTCCTATGTCCGTGACTGTGCCAACTGGAGGGACACACGCCTTGACATGGAGCTGCCAAGTCACTTTAAATCCTGCGCATTTAGAAGTCTGCCAGAAATCACAGACTGCCCTCCTAAGAGGCTGGACCAATCTTGGGTCCCTGCGATCACATAACCGTGGAGCTCAAGCTGGTCTCAGGTTTGATGGTACCGATGGGTGACAACTGGGCTTGGAAGACTGAAGATTAGTGAAGAGTTACACAATCTGTTTTAAAGTTTATTTTTTAAATATCTACATTGTTCCATTTTTAAATACTACATGACTCGACGGCAAACAACAACAACAACATGCTCAACACAGGCAATTTAGGGGAAAAAATATATCCAGATGCAATCACTATTAATGTTTGTTGAATTTCTTTCTAGTCTTTTTTCCCTTTTTAAAAAAAAAAAAATGTGGTTCATACATATTGTACAGCCTAATCTATGTCTAACATACACAGAACAGGCCACTAGATTTGATGGACAATGGACCGGGTCAACACACACATAGATAGATCCTCAGTTAACCTGACAGCTCTGCACACAGAAGGCTATTCTTTAACAATAAAGTGTTTAACGAGCTTTAGTGTTGTCTGTACTTAAACCAATCCCCCGCCCCAAAAACAAAAACAAAAACGAAACGTTGCCACCAAGTCAATTCCAACTCATAGCAACCCTACAGGACAAAGTGGAACTGCCCCATAAGGTTTCTAAGGCTGCACTCTTTATGGAAGCAGACTGTCACATCTTTGTGGCTGGTGGGGGTTCTAACTGCTGACCTTTGGGTTAGTAGCCGAGCATTTTAACCACTGCAGTACCAGGACTCTAAAAGAGCACAGGCCCGGCATCAAATCCAGGCCTCTCAGCAGGTGAGAGTCCTACCAGTGACCCACCAAAGCTGTGAACGAGGCACCGAAACAGCCCTCTGTGGAGACGCTCTGAGCTGCTCCCATTCACTCTGGTAACGCACAGGACACAGGACGACAAGGTGGACGGTGACGCCCTGATGACCGAGGACCAGCACAGATGGGGCCACAGCACTGAGGCTTCTCAATGAGGCAGGAAGAGGGTCTAGAACGAGGGGAGCCAGTCTGTCTGCCTTGGGAGCTCATCTGGGTGGGTGAGGAGTTAACCTTCCTGTCAGTTTCTCCCAAGTGGGGACACCAGCGAACAGCCCCTTCATGAGTAGATAGCATGCCAGAAAATAATCTGAGTGGTACAGAAGGCAGGAACGGGCGGCTGTGGTCAGACTTCCCATCCGTCCACTGCTTCTCTGCTTTTCCCGCTGGGGCTGCAGCCAAACACACAGGGGAGCCCATCCCTTCTG